GATCCTAGGGAGTTTTGGTATAAAATTATATTGCAACAGCTCAAAATCTTCTTGAAATATCGCCCGGAAATGATAGTATTACATACAGACAAAATGTACAAATTTACGACCTTGAACTTTGACCTTTTGACCTCAAAATCAATGAGGGATCTTCCTTCGGCCACAGGGAGTTGTTTTGTAAAATTTCATTGCAAAAGCTCAAACAGTTCTCGAGCTATCGCGCGGAAATGAAAGTTTTATAAAAGACAGAATTTGCGAATTTATGACCTTGACCTTTTGACCTCAAAATCAATAGGGTTCTTCTTTAGTCCATAGGGAGTTGCTATGCAAAATTTCATTGCGAAAGCTCAAAGGGTTATCGACATATCGTGTGGAAACGAAAGCGTTACAGACAGAAACCAGAAGTCTCTGTCGAGACTGTAGCTCTACTGGTTTGTACTTATCAAAAACCATTGCACTATTTTATGTATCTTTGTGTAGTCTACTTGTGTGCCAACCTATTTTGAAATCAAACTAGAACTGTAGAAGGAGTAGCGTTTTTAAGGAATTTCACAGAAAATTCTATTTTTAGTAACCATGGTAATACCGTTAATCGAAATCAGAAAACAGATGCACTATTCTATGTATCTTAAGTGCAGTCTACTTGTGTGCCAAGTTATATTGAAATCAGACCAGAACTGTAGAAGGAGTAGCGTTTTTAAAGAATTTCACAGAAAATTCTATTTTTAGTAACCATGGCAAAACCGTTCATCAAAATTAAAAACTGATGCACTATTCTATGTATCTTTGTGTAGTCTACTTGTGTGCCAAGTTATATTGAATTCAGACCAAAACTGTAGAAGGAGTAGTGTTTTTAAGGAATTTCACAGAAAATTCTATTTTTAGTAACCATGGCAACACCGTTCAACAAAATCAAAAACCGATGCACTATTCTATGTATCTTAGTGTAGTCTACTTGTGTGCCAAGTTATATTGAAATCAGACCAAAACTGTAGAAGGAGTAGCGTTTTAAAGGAATTTCACAGAAAATTCTATTTTTAGTAACCATGGCAACAAAGTTCATCGAAATCAAAAACCGATGCACTATTCTATGTATCTTAGTGTAGTCTACTTGTGTGCCAAGTTATATTGAAATCAGACCAAAACTGTAAAAGGAGTAGTGTTTTTAAAGAATTTCACAGAAAATTCTATTTTTAGTAACCATGCCAACACCGTTCATCAAAATTAGAAACCGATGCACTATTCTATGTTTCTTTGTGTAGTCTACTTGTGTGCCAAGTTATATTGAAATCAAACCAAAACCGTAGAAGGAGTAGCGTTTGTAAGGAATTTCACAGAAAATTCTATTTTTAGTAACCATGGCAACACCATTCATCGAAATCAAAAACTGATGCACTATTCTATGTATCTTAGTGTAGTCTACTTGTGTGCCAAGTTATATTGAAATCAGACCAAAACTGTAGAAGGAGTAGCGTTTTTAAGGAATTTCACAGAAAATTCTATTTTTAGTAACCATGGCAACACCGTTCATCGAAATCAAAAACTGATGCACTATTCTATGTATCGTAGTGTAGTCTACTTGTGTGCCAAGTTATATTGAAAACAGACCAAAACTGTAGAAGGAGTAGTGTTTTTAAGGAATTTCACAGAAAATTCTATTTTTAGTAACCATGGCAACACCGTTCATCGAAATCAAAAACCGATGCACTATTCTATGTATCTTAATGTAGTCTACTTGTGTGCCAAGTAATATTGAAATCAGACTAAAAATGTAGGAGGAGTAGCGTTTTGAAAAATTGTTTACAGACAGACGGACAGACAGACAGACAGACGGACGGACGCCGGACGCATTACTATCACATAAGCTCTTCTGGTCTCTGACCAGTAGAGCTAAAAAAGACGGACGGACGGACAGACAGAACCAAATTAATATCCCCCACTTTTCAAGCGGGGGACAAAAATGAAATGGACCATTAAGAAGATTACCCAAAATGGCAATAAAAAATATGACCCTGTGGTTTCTTGTCCAAATGCCTGCTAATGTATCATAATTTTTTGTTTTAATAAAATATTTAACATTTCTCTTATAGATATTAAATGCAGAAAAATTAGTTATTTACAGTAAAATATGCATGACTGAAGTAAACAAAGTCATGCAAGTAAACATTTTTGTAATTTTTTAAAATCAAATTTGCTGTCTTATAATGATATTAAATAATGTACATGTAATAATATCAAACAATTAGTTATGACTTGATGGAGGGAGAGTTGAACATGTAATAACAATAAAAGATATCGGGTTTTTTTAAAACTTTGAAATGTCGCATTTCTCCAATTGGATAAATGGTTTCCAATTATTTACGGTCACCTCTGTTTTACCGTACTGTTTTACCGTACGCGTTAAAATATTTGCAGGACTCTTTATTATAATGATACAATCAATCAATACTATCAGCCAGTCACTTCATACATATATGTTGAAGGACTAAATATCAATATTTTTCTGAAAAGAAATTAAAGCCTATAATAGACGAAGGAAGCAGTATTATATCAATAATATCAGGTAATCACATTTATGAAGAAGGATTAAATATCAACATTTTTTAGGTCACCTGAGTAAGTTAACTATTGCTGTCCGTTTTCGTCCATCATCGTGCGTTGTGCGTTAACATTGAAACACTTTCAGCTCTGCAACCACTGAACCAATTTCAACGAAATTAAGCATCTATGGCTGAAGGGGAACAAAGATTTTGAATTTCAGGATCCCTGCCCCTCTTGGGCCTGAGGGGTGGGGCCTAAACCACTAAAATTTCTGCAATCTTTAAAACTCCTCTTCTTTACTCCTGGACATCAAGCAGTCAAACTGTTTTCATGCTTGTAATAAGCATTCTACCAAAATTGTGAAAGTCATGGTCCTAGGGTCAGGGGCAGTAGTGCTAGGGCGGGGCTATAACGAGTATATAGTTAAAATGAATTATTTCTTTGAAAATCCTCTTCTCTGATCCTGGGTCTTAAATAAACTAAGTACATAGTTATGATGAGCAAGATTGCGTCTACTGAAATTGTGAATTTTATGGCCCCAGGGTCAATGATTCTAGTGCTAGGGCGGGGCTAAAACGAGTATATAGTTAAATACATTGTTTCTTAGAAATTTTCTTCTCTGCTCCTAGGTATTAAATAAACTAACTAAGTACATAGTTATGATGAGCAAGAGTGCCTCTTAGTCTAAAAAAATTGTGAATTTTATGGCCCCAGGGTCAGGGTTTCTGGTGTTAGGGCGGGCCTCTATTGATTATAAAGTGAAAATACATGAATTCTTTGAAAAATTTCTTCTCTGCTCCTAGGTATTGAATAGCTAACTAAATACATTGTTAGGACGAGCAGTAATGCCGCTTCCCAAATTGTGATTTTTATGGCCCCAGGGTCAGGGGTTCTAGTGTTATAGCGGGGCTTTATTGATTATATAGTGAAAATACATTAAATCTTTAAAAAATTTCATCTCTTTTCTGGGGCTCCACTTTTTATTACAGCTTCAAGGATCATTTTTCTGGCACAAAAGTTCTTTTATATACCGTCCATCTTAGGGAAGGTAAAATTAATAAATGTTAATATTCTGTTATAACGTTAACTTTTTAAAATCTCTAAACATTCAACTAACCATATCCTTTACAGCGATTGTATGATTTTACAAAATTATTTTTTCAATATAGGTGGAACTGTAGACGTAACGGCGCACGAGATCTTAGATTGCGACAAAGTAAAAGAGGTTTTGCGTCCTTCTGGTGGGAATTGGGGAGGAACAATTGTTGATGACAGTTACATATCTTTTATCACTGCTTTGGTAGGACAAAATACTATAAAACATTTTGAATCCAAGCATGCTCTTGGTCTATATGAGCTGTGTCGAGAATTTGAAATTACCAAGCGCAAAATATCACCTCATTCTGATCTGAAAACAACTATTCGGTTTCCAACAGCTCTTGAAGATTCCTACAGAGAAGCAAATGCTGGAGGAAATGTCAAGGCCCTTTCCGAGATTTTCTGGCAAAAAGAAAAACGCGCTATTTCTTTCTATAAAGATAAGCTAAGAATAGACACAAACACAGCAAATGCTTTTTTTGATGAATCAGTATCACAGATTATCCAACATCTTCAAACTATTTTAAACTCATTTGAGGGGAAATTCATCTCTACAATATTGTTAGTTGGTGGTTTTGCAGAATCGGCAGTTCTATTTGATGCAGTCAGACGCCATTTTCCCGAAAGACATGTTATTATTCCAAAGGAGGCTGGATGGGCAGTTTTAGCAGGGGCTGTTATATTTGGTCATGATTCTAGTTTAATAGAAAAGAGAAAGAGCAAGGTCACATATGGTGTTGCTTGTTCTCAATTGTTCGATCCAGATATTCATGAACCAAAATATTTATTTTTTAGAGATGGAAAAGCGTGCTGTAATAACATGTTTCACAAACATGTAGAAATTGATGAAATAATCAACGTTGGGAGTTACCAATCAGACGAGATATATGAATTAACTTCTACGTTTGATTTCACATGGGATATTTATTCTTCAGAAGAAAAGAATCCTATGTACATCACAGATGAAGGTTGTAACAAGATTGGTACCTTGAGGCTCCCAAAAAGAGACGTAGATCTCGACAGCAAAATGAGAATCCAAATGTCATTCAGCAACACTGAAATAGAAGTTAAAATGACTTACACCAAGACTGGAGAATCGACACAAATTTTTCTCGAGCAATGATGTAAAACTTCAGGCTTTATAATTGATATATGCATGTCTGATGTTAAATGTACAATAAAAATATATTGAATAATGTATATATACATCCAGTGATATACTCTTCTTTATTCCAAAAGAAAGTCAATTCCATTATCAGTCATATCAGAAACATATCACTTCTACGGGTTTCTTGAGAAGTTGCCGTCAAAATGATTTACACATCAAATGTACATTATATAGTATTCTGAATCATACTATTATTTGTAATGAAAATTAGATGGACCATTAAATGTCCTTCTTTGATTGTTAGCATAAACTAGAATCAGCTTTGTAACCATTTCAGAAATTATATCACTTTTCTGCTTTGTACTCAGGCTTTGCATTTTTGCAACAGTTGCAGCAATATTTCCCGTACTGAAATATAAAAAAAACACTTTATTTATAAACAGTATTTTTATTTCTTGTAACCAGACGCCAAAGAGCCATAACGGTCAAAATAAGATTGATTGATTGATTGTATGCTGTTTAACGTCCCTCTCGAGAATTTTTCACTCATATGGAGACGCCACCACTTGCCGGTGGAGGGCTACGAATTTTGTCCTATGCTCGGCACTCAGGGCCTTTGAGCATTTGGGGATCTTTTTCGTGCCAGCACCTACTGCGACACGTGGCCTCGGTTTATACGGTCTCATCCGAAGGACCGGTCTCCACGTCCCAAAGTGGGATTCGAACCCGAGACGTAAGGATTGATTCCTGTCACAATAAGAAAAACATTGCAAAAAAGATCAATAATCATAGATAATTATATATTATAATGTGTATATATAACTAAATTATCCAAAATTAAGATAATGTCTCAGTAATCGAATAACAATATAAAAAAATTAAAAAGAAAACACAAAAATCCTCAGTTAAGCTTAAGCGCTTTCATTTTCAATCTTAAGAAGCTTAAAATAGTATCATTGTAACAGTGATTGTGACGTCATGTTAAGCGGAACGTTAATGTCTTTATTATGACGTCATAGATACAATATGAAAAAATACGAGAAAATTACAAGTAACTTATAAAACACTATTAAGTTTGGGCTTAAAAATACTAATAAAATGGTTTTTTCCCGTCTCTGGATATCAGTGGCACACCTGTGATTATAGAAAGGGAACATTTTGAATTGTCTTCACTACACGCCTCCAGGTGCGAACTAAACTGAGTTTTTTTCTGTATTCGGGTGTACTAATGTGTTGCTTATGTACACGTACACTGGCACGGAGAGTGTTGCAGGTTTCACCAATATAATATTCCTTGCATCCAGGACATGTGATGGCATAAATTACATTTTTTTGTATCGCATGACATGTTTTCTTTAACTCTAAATTCACGCCCATTGAAATTATAGCTGATCCCTTCTGTAATGAAATCACTATCGGAGGGTTTAACAGATAAGGAAAAGGACTACCTGACAAACTTTGAATTCCGAGAGAGTCAATTCTATGGTTTACCTAAAGTGCACAAATCTAAAATTATTAAGGATGCCATAAAAGAACCTAAAGAGAATACTTTGTTCTTCCCAATTCAACGACCATACTTATACAGTCTCTGAGTGTAAGAACCCTCGATGCGGTACATGTGAATACATTACAGAAGGGACCAGCTATAATTTCAATGGGCGTGAATTTAGAGTTAAAGAAAATATGTCATGCGATACAAAAAATATCATTTACGCCATCACATGTCCTGGATGCAAGGAATATTATATTGGTGAAACCGGCAACACTCTCCGTACCCGTGTACGTGTACATAAGCAACACTTTACAACACATTAGTACACCCGAATTCAGACAAATTCAGTTAAGCTCGCACCTGGAGGCGTGAGGTAAAAAACAATTCAAAATGTCCCCTTAAGATATATACATGTATAATAATTCCCAGTGTGTAATGCAAAATAAAGAGCAGGTTTTTGTATTTTATATTACATGAAAGTATCAAATAATGCCTAGCGACTCCAGCTTTTGAGACGGGTCTCTAACAGTTTTGTCACATTTCTATTGTTTTTCATAAATGTATGCATACCCGGTTTGAACGATATTGTTTACATCGAGCTGCAACTTGTCCATTCATCGCATTTGCAGAAGATGTGCATTTTAATTAGAACTTATCCAAACATATGCAAAGGACAATGATGGACAAATTGCGGTTCATATCTAATTGATTGAAAAAGTCTCCAAAATACGATCGAGTTATCAACTAAATTAACAGGTCCCCGAGTGTCAACGATTGATATTATAATCACGTTCCTCACGTGACATTTTACTGCATGTTATGTTCGATACGCTTTTGTTGAACATTTCACTTTCTATTTTGTCAGTGTCTATCGTATTTCCAACTTCAAACTATTGAAGATTTTTGCGAAAATTTTGTTAGGAATTGAAATTATTTGTCTCTTATTTTACTTTGAATTTTTCGTTGAGGGTGTTTTGAAAGAACTATATAATTTATGGTATTGTCAGTATGATTAGTAAGTATCGTCGCGAACTAGTTGTATAACTTCAATTAAAGAAACAATATTTGGTTTCAGTGTTGATTTTATTTTAGATTAGTCATCTCCAAATTTAATGGACATTTGCCACCGTTCTGCTTATGCACGAATCACGTGATATAGGCGGTCACGTGAGCCCTTCCGTAGCGTTCTGTCACAAAATTGAAATATTTTTCTGAGTTTGATATTTCTTTCCATGTACGTTAATTTTTATAGCAAGAACAGTTCATTTGTCGGAAATGGTCAAATCTCGGCAACAGAAAATATGGATAGGAATATCCTTTCCAAAAATATAAAATATCAGTTTCCTATGTCAAACGCAATTCAAGCGTACATCCTTAATGAAGCATTTGGTTGATTTGTATCAAATCACTTAATTGAAGGCTTGCGTTTGCATGGTTACACAAATCGTATATTAATATTATTATAACATTATATTTTATCTTTTTAACACTCACATTTCTCTTTCTTGTTTTAAGCAATGTTAAAATAAACTAAATTGAGCAGAGAAATGACTGTACCTATTTCAATATCATTTTATATTAACGTACAGTGTAAGTAGTTCTTTCTCGTCTTTCAAATCTTCGCCATACCAGTTTACATGTAACTACGAGGTATAATACGTACGTTATTGAACCAGTCCTCTTTTAATTACTTTCATTAGAACTTCTCAATCCATTTCAGCAGGTCGTACTTTAACTCTAGATTTGGTCGTTCATAAAGGATTTTAAACCAAAATTCAAAAGCGTAAACTTAAATACAAGTGGCGTAATAGCGTAAATATGTGGTAAAAAGCGGAAAAATTACGCCAAAAGCGGAAGGGTAGGCAGGTCTGGTATCATTTATAACCATCTGTCTTCCTTCACTAAAACGACCAATGGAATCATGATGCATCGACTGAATTTATAGGAAGTCATTTATCTTTAGAAACTGTGTACAAATTATTATACGCTACTTCAAAGGGATTTCTAAGATATATAATAAATTCTACAGTCGTTTGTTGAATGAGTACGAGTGAGACAACCATTTTTCGTCACAAGTGACCTACATAGTGACGTCATTTTCACATCGTAACGTCACAATCAAGGAGCAAAACTTTATTCAGCATATGCTATTTATAGAGCCCGTGAATGGCTATGTGTGTACCAATTTTTATTCTAATCTGAAATGTGGTTTTGTAGATATAGAGATAGATCGCGAACTTTTTTATCACCCCTCGTACACTTATAATTTTACTTTTCCTTAATCCATCATTTACTACTAATGGTATTATCAGTTACACAATCAGTTAGTGACCTAATACAGAGTCATACAGGGTGTGAAATGGAAACCCGTATTGGACGAGGCGAAGCCAAGTCCCAAAACGGATTTCCATTTCACAACCTGTATGACCCCGTATTGAGTCACTAACTGACTGTGTTACGAATTTATCCCGCTGAAGGCCTTCTTAAATATTAAAAAAGAAATCTTGGTGCATATCATGAAAATATCAACTTTTATTTCAATAACATTCAACGTAAAATATCGTAACAAGAAACTAAGTAATCAAACTACCTATGCAAACTGTTGCTTAGCCGCCATTTTTATTTACAATGGCAATGCTTTGAACGGAATCACGTGCCCAATTTTCATATTACTCCTTGACGGTGACGTAATACGGAAAATTTCAGGGCGTCATGTGATTAGCTTTTATCCAATCAGTAATCTACAAATTTGTCTGAAGCGGGATAACG